TGAAGTAAGGTGGTGAAGTAGGGTCTGTTAAGTGAAGTAAGGTGGTGAAGTAGGGTCTGTTAAGTGAAGAAAGGTGGTGAAGTAGGGTAGGGTCTGTTAAGTGAAGTAAGGTGGTGAAGTAGGGTCTGTTAAGTGAAGTAAGGTGGTGAAGTAGGGTCTGTTAAGTGAATTAAGGTAGTGAAGTAGGGTCTGTTAAGTGAAGTAAGGTGGTGACGTAGGGTCTGTTAAGTGAAGTAAGGTGGTGAAGTAGGGTCTGTTAAGTGAAGTAAGGTGGTGAAGTAGGGTCTGTTAAGTGAAGTAAGGTGGTGAAGTAGGGTCTGTTAAGTGAAGTAAGGTGGTGAAGTAGGGTCTGTTAAGTGAAGTAAGGTGGTGAAGTAGGGTCTGTTAAGTGAAGTAAGGTGGTAAAGTAGGGTCTGTTAAGTGAAGTAAGGGGCATCAAGCTGCTGTAGTTGGTTGTGTTGAAGTGCGAGCTGTACCCGGTGACTGACCCACATACTGACCCACAGACCCACAGACTGACTCACAGACTGACCCACAGACCCAAAGAGAGACTCACATACTGACCCATAGACTGACCCACAGAATGACCCACATACTGAGCCGGTGTAAAAAAAATGACATTCGAGTTAACGTACAGGTTTTTTTTTATTATGAATGTAGCTGAGCAAGGTATTTTTCACATACATTTGTTTCATGTATAAACCACAAGATTAAATGTTTTTTTTGTTTGGATTATATATCGTTTTTTTAAAGAACAGTGTATTTAATGACTTTTAAATATAATTTTGCCGTCGAGTTTTAAGACGAATCAAAAAAGTTTTGCTTTCGATAATTATAAAGAACCTGAATCTTCAAATAAATCCAAAGTGGAAATAATATATTTCAATGCAAGTAAACATACAAGGGGCATAATTGTAAATTATCTTAACAAAATATAACTAATTTAATAGGATTAAATGAAAACATGTGATTTTAATTTAAAAAAAGTTGCATTTGTATTTATACTTTGCTTGTCGGAGCAATTTATCAAACATTACCACTTTTTTTAGTTTTTATAATTTAATTACGAATGACAATGAAGAATTAAAACCTTTACAATTATAGTCTTAATTTTTTAAGACATGCAAGAGTTAATTTTAATGAGTGATATACAGCATCCGTAACGTTTTTGGATTTTAAATATTTACTTTTTAATTTAAAACAAAATCATATCAACGTGCCCATCCATGACGATAGAGACACACGATTTACCGCACACATATTTTGTGTGAAATGATTTCAGACCCAGTCTGATGAGTGTAGTTGAACATTGCAATATTTTACGTTTTGTTCTGGTTTATGTGTTGCATACGTTTAACAAAGGGTTAAAAAACCAACATATTTATATATATTGTGGCGACCAACCAAGTTATTAGTCAACTAAATGTCTCTACTTAAAATAGCACGCATTTGATAGCGTCTTTTTATTCTAGTATAAAATTATGATGCTATGTTACATTGCGAGATGATTCAATCTGTATTGATATTATCAATTGCCCTGTAATTCCATATGTCTTTATTTATATTATCCATTCCTCTGTTGAAAGTAATTCCATATGTATTTATTTATATTATTAATTAGTTCCCTGTTGAAAGTAAATCTTTCTATTTGTTATGTTTTGTTGTATGATGGCCATGTATTATGGCTGAATTATGGATATGTATTATTGCCGACCTACAATTAACACGTGGGTACGGATGTTTATTCTTTGCGTTTAGGAGGTTTTGTGCTGTGTATTTTTATTTTAATTAAAGGCAATACGACTACACGTGCACTGATTTGAGCATTGATTGAAGTTATTTTCGCCATGCAATTTAAACACTCAAGACATAATAAATACACGTACTGATTTTAAATTTATAACACGTATATAACGAGTTCGACAAACAGGTCTTATGGCAATTATCTAATTAAAAACACTTTCTATATGTCCTATAAAATAATCAGATTGAATGCCAAGTTGTACATCTATTTACATGTATTTTTGTAAAAAAAATGATTTTCAAACGTATTAAAATCGGATATCAGTTAACTAAGTGCCACCAAAAAGATTGTACAACAAAATAATAACTGTATAAAAACATATTTATGATAATTAAAGAAGCGAGACAATGTATGTTAGGCAAAAATGAAATACGTGTTTTGTTATACACTTTTCCTAGACATTACATACAATGTCTAGCCTTTATGTGGAATGCCAAAAACTGCACATGAACAAGTTAAATGCCGTGATTACAAAAGATTTAAATAGCATACGGTACAAAAAATCAAATAATAAATACAAAATGCACAAGAGGAAATCTTCATTGAGAAAACAATATACATAAATTCTCCTACTCACTAGCATTTTTATTGCACTTAGTTTTCTTTCAAACCCTAAAAATAACGCTTGCTCTAATCTTAACCCTTACTAAATCTCTAACCTCGCTATAAACAAATCACTTATCCTAACCTTAACCTTAAACTAATTCCTAAACCTTGATATCTAGTTATTATTCAAAGGTCTGCTTGTTGGTTATTTGTTATTCTATATAATTACTAGAAAAAGTATGACATATTAATGTATTTCATAATTTGACGACTTATTTCAGGAATAGTATACATTGCCTGGGTATTATAATGAATGACGGTTTTTATACTTTGCCGGTAATATATATGCCTACACGTGATACACCATGAAAAATATTGTAATATTAATCTATAACATTAGATTTAAGGCTATAGGCCTATGCTGTTATGAATAATAGGTTTAGTTTTGTTTAGTTTTTACTCCATCGTCATGTATTAAATCAACATTTAAAAAAAAATAAAAAACTGCTTACGCTGTCATTAAAACTCGTGTCTGGATCTATATATGTGTATTTTATGTCTAGAACTTTCGTATTTCGAGCACTATATATATAATTCTCAGAAACCCATGACGTGTGATTATGTAGATGTAATAGGAAGCTTCGTTCTCTTTACAAGAAAATGTTTTTAAAAATAAATATTTAACCAGCTTCTCTATTTTAACAATACATTTAGCTGTAAATTAATGCACGAATAAATGAATAAATAAGATATATTGTCTATATGGGCAGACAGACAGATTAACAGACGAACAGACAGACAGGTAGGCATACATAAACAGGCTGAAGGCACGCTTGCAGACAGGAAATCTTGATGATGATTTTTTCCTGTGAGCCCAACATTACAAACAAGAATGACTTACACATGTATATGACGGAAAATAGGATAGAGAGAAATAAATAGTGAGAGCCCCCCCCCCCCCGCCCCAAAGGTAGAGAGAAAGGGGGGGGGGTGTAGAGCAAAACACTTTTTAAATTAACATTTAAAATATGATTTCAAGTTTTTTTGTCAATAAAATAATCTATTTAAGTAATGTTGAATGTGTGTGTACTTTATATGTTTAAATGTAAGCACATTGAATGAAAATATAGTAAACAAGCGAGACACACACCTGTCAGTTATTACAGCTCTAAAAAATTAAAGAACGTGTCGTTCCTGCTCGTGCTCCAGACACATGGGACAGTTATAGAATGGTTCATGGGGGTTGGGATATTGCAGTCTGCACCATACCCAGCCGTTAGAGTCTCCAAAGGATGAGCCAGGTACCCATTAGAGTTGAGTGAACTCAGGGACGTCATTGTAACGTAGCTCATATACTCAGCTGTAAACTAGTATCAGTGACAAATATTATCGCATAACCATAGTATATAATACCTAACTTTTAACAGCACTATAAACACTCATATATATATATATATATATATATATGTATATATATATGTATATATATATATATATATATATATGTATATATATATATATATATATATATATATATATATATATATATATATATATATATATATATATATATATATATATATATATATATGTATTGAGTGCTGTTTTTTTTAATATTATTTATTGTTATTTAATTTTTTTTTCATAATACAATAAATGTTAGTTAACGTAACACCAGTGTATTAGATTTCAATTAGCATGTTTTATTTTGCGTGATGTAATTGAATAATTAGCCAATCATGCTAACATTGTTTACATTTCTTTAACTGTCTTTAAAATCATGTTATTGAATATTTTATTAGTTAATATAATACTTTGTATATTGTTTTGTTTGTTACTATATCCAGTCTAAAGCTTAAGTACCTGGGTTTTATTAATGTCCTAAAAATAAAACGTGCAATATATGTGTAACCAATTGTTAGAAAAGGTCTACTCGTTGTCTTCAAACATTGCCATTTTAGTCACCTGGATCAAATCAGAAAACCTTTTGTAACCGTAATTTCCCTTACATTTGTGTTAGTTATTAAAAACTAGTTGTTTATTTTTCTCTAATATAATTCCCTTTATAATTCCAGTCATATTGATTTGGTCCATCTGTTATTGTCAATACAGTACTAAATTAATAAAACATAAAAATAATAGCAAACGTGCTTTTTTGTGACTGTGATATGAAAATAGATGAATAAGGCTACATGTCATTCATACAAAATAAACACTTTCAGATTAAAACGCCTAGATAGAATCAGCATAGACCTACACAATCAGATGCTAGCACAGTTATACAGAATTTCCAAATAAAAGACAATTCTAAAATTAACCATCAAATCAGCACATTATGGAAAATTTAAATATAATATTTTTTTTTCAATACTGTAGACGTTTATTCTAAACAAGACAGGGATGACTCATGACAATTTTTACAGCACACCAAATGGTGTATAAACCGTGTGCCACCTTTACTCCTTTAACTAACAAGTTAAAAAGTACAGCTAAAAACAAAAACTTTTAATAAATATATTTACCTTATTTTAACAAATGAATGTATGATTCTGTAGTGTTACAAAATATATATTCAGGAAAAAAACGACAATTTTTAATATTTATCAATCACACTGTATGCTGATTGGAAGTGGTTAATGAATGTCTTAGTACCTCATATAATTTAAGCATCTAGTAAATTCAAGGACTTACAATTTTACAAAAATTAAACCAAATATGTCGTCACCTTAAAGACATCATGAAAACCTATGTTTGATTAAGAAAAAAAATAACAGTTCTAAAAGAGTGAGTGTTTCATCGTTTGCTGTTGGGGTGTCCTGTGCCTCTCAAGGGCATTTTAAAGTTAGTCGCAGCTTGGTACTGAAGTTGATAAGCAAGAGAATGTATCTTGAATCCATAAAGCCTCGGAACAAATTGATTTGCAGGCCTTTTAGGCCTATACTCAGGATGTACCATAAACAACATATGAGGAAAGCCAGTGCCAAAATATGCACCATCTGTATGGTGGTGCCTGGAAGATTTGGGTGTGTACGCGTCTTGACATTTAGGAAAATACAGTTTGACCATGACATCAGACAAACCAATCGGTAGCATGGGTTGATTCTCACAGTATACACGAGGACAGTATCCAAAGTCTCCCTGTTGCCATTTTTCTATCATTTGAGCAATGCCTCTGTTTGTCATGATGTAGCGAGCATGTATTCGTCCATACAACATTTCAGCTGCCAGCTCTATTAAATCGCTTTGATTTGGATTTTTCTCTAGTTCATCATCTGGCTCTAAATCAAGGAATTTATAAACAATCAAACAAAAATAGCAGCACAGGAGCATCTGCCAACCAACGTTTGAACAAACTATCCTTTTTATATCTTAAATATACATTTACAACGTTTAGCGCTTTTACTTTTAAATTATACAATTTCGTAATAAAAAGATACCACATAAGGTAAAAGCAAATGATTTATTAATAACAATGTAATACTTAGTATTTAATTGATATTTTTGTTTTGTATTCTACAATTTTATTAATGGTTTTTTATGTTCTAAAATGATTGCAGCTAGTCTCCCTTACCATTGTTTTAATAATAAAAGGGAAGTTAGCAACAAAAGGTAATACATATCGAGAATAAATAAAATGTGATATGATTAAATTAACTCTCCTATAAACACGGGTCATTGTGGACATCCACATGTTGAATTTATTAACAAAAAAAGATACACATATTTAAAAAACTGGACATACATTGTAGGTTATACATTAAATCAGCAGCTCTCGTGTTAAATATTCCCAACACAACGGGTGAATAAATGTATCAGAAATGTAACTATATACAGCTCGCCTAAGAAAAAAAAATCGGAAGATTGTGTTTTGTTTTGCAATCGGAGGTGGAGGGGTGGGGGGGGGGGGGAGGCTGTGACCGCGGCAATTATCTAAAACATGCCACCGTATTTCAAGTTTCGTCTAAGAACAATTAGCTCTAGACACCCATCGTGTCTACAACATTAATTTGTGTCAAAGCCTAGATATATTGTTTTTTCTTACCCCCCCTTGGCTAGTAACCATATGTGTTACATTATAGTACTCAAAATAACCACGATGCACTTAAATATATACAAATAACAGCGCGTGAGTATACTTTTTCAGATGTGTAGGGCTCATAGTAAACTCAACATAAAAGGGGGGGGGGGGATGAAGGTGGTTTCTTATAGAAACACGTCTAGCGTTAATCTGAGTAAAAGTAACATAATGATGTCACGTTGATTGGCCGAATTTACCCTAACTAGTTTATATATATATATATATATATATATATATATATATATATATATATATATATATATATATATATATATATATGTATATATATATACATTCAAAAATAACATTAAAATATTCGATCTACAGTATCTTCAATTAAACAAAAATAGTGTTAATAATATAAAGCAGCAAAATACTATTAATACAAAATCAAAAATTTAATACTTTGCAGTTTTTGTTTGGTATTGACAGAACCATTTAATATTAATCAAGCGCTTATCCCATAAGGCCTAGTTTATACTAAGTCGCTTCTTCTTCTTCTTCTTCGTTCTTAATTTTAGTGTTTGAAGGGATTCCCTCTAACTCAATTAAGTATACGTGTCAACTTGTTATGCGCCATTGCATTGACTCGGATTTCAGCCTGCTGTTCTTTTTGGATTTGCTTCTATAGCCTTTGTCAAACCAAGAACAAACTACAAGGCAGCAGTTGTTTGATTTTGGAATTGTCTCTCCTAGAATAATGGCTGTCTCTAGCTAATTCGCTTCAACTGCCCGAGGGTTCGAATTTGAGACTTTTCAATTAGCAACCAGGGACTTTACCAACTCGACAACGCCCCATTCAAATAATGTTGGAATATACGACTATATGATCAGACGTGTATCGTGAGCAATCATTCAGTCGATGGTAGGGCAAAAGTCACGTGAGATAAGCTGCACCAATCGCCGATAACGTGGGATTATTTTTAGCCCATAAATAATTATTTCAGTTCTACACTGAACTACCTATCTATATTATATATATATATATATATATATATATATATATATATATATATATATATATATATATATATATATATATATACATGTATATATATATATACATATATATATATATATATATATATATATATATATATATATATATATATATATATATATACATGTATATATATATATACATATATATATATATATATATATATATATATATATATATATATATATATATATATATATATATATATATAATTCTCTTCATGGACACCATAGAAAACACAAAGCTGTAAGCGCGCCTAGCAGCCCCCTCTCTTCCTCTCTAGACATATCCCTACCACCCCCCCCCCCCCCAAAGTGGGGGAACGTTTTACATGAGCAGTTGGCAAGAAACTGTACAGCTTGAAGCTACCATATCAGAAGTTAACAGTGAGTGCGCTGTTTTAAACACAAATCACAGTCATAGTAAAGGTGAAGAAACAAACAACTTTGTTTCCCTTTTTAGTCATTTTTAATAATCGGAAAAAAACTATTGTAATTACAAAATGTAAAGTACTGAAAAAAATTCTTAAAAATGATTAAATAACAAGCTTTTATGTAATAATGCACTAAAAAGTAGAAAATAAATCATACATTACTATTTAAATATCTATCAAGAAAAGCGTGGGTCTCTTCCTAAATATTAGAAAAGGTATCCATTTAATATTAAAGGGGTTATCATGGTGAACGATTGATTTGTGTAAAGAGTTTTGTTTGTTACTTCTAAGAAAAACAAGGGAGGCTATATTTCAACAATTTACTCAATCAAAATATAAATGTATCCATAAATCAAGATTATAATCACTGTGAATTATTTATCATAATAACATAAATAATATTAAACTTTCTTCATTAGGATACAATTTAACACAGAATCATGCGTATTATTCAAATTTAGAAACACGTATAATTAAAAATTAGAAACGGTGACAAAAAAAAATAAATAATGTTTTATTTGTAATTTGTTTAATTATAACGATGTTGCGTCCTCGATGATTGCTTTTGCGAAATTATTTCAAACACAATATTGACATCTTACTTTTACAGGAAACTAACATTGGAACTACAGAAGAGGCAAATAAATTAGATGCATATATCGGTATTAAAAACTCACTGCACAGTACTGGTTACAACTGCAGAGGATCCAGTATACTTTGTACATCAGACAAACACAAAATTAAAAGTACATACACGGATAAACAGGGCAGGATAGCATGCATCACATTGGATATTGACAAAACAGAAATAACAATCATCAATATATACGCCCCAACACATAGACAAGAACAAAAACATTTCTACCACACGCTTAATGAACTTATAAATACCGAATACAAAAACAAGACGATACTTTTAGCAGGTGATTTTAATATGGTCATTGATGATACAGACCTAATAGGACAAGATGACAGGAAAACGAAAAGGCTAAAACACTATAAAGAACAAATTAATACATTAAACAATATAATAAAAACGACAAGCTTAAAAGACACCTACAAGAATACACTAAATTTACTGAAACCACGCACTACAGCAGAACACATCATAGCGCAGCTAGGCTTTACAGAATATATGCTCATGAAAGTATAACGGTAAACAAAGTAAAACACCTCGCTCAGACACTTACATTTACAGACCACAAAATAGTTATTGCTCAACTACAAATTAACCCCACTCACAGAACAAAGAATACATATTGGAAACTCAACAACACCTTTCTAGAAAATAGCGAATACATCACAGAAATAAGGAAGCTAGCATCAGAATTCACACAGAGAGCATCAAACACACATGCACTAGAGCTCTGGGAAGATTTTAAATATATGGTACGGGAATACTCTATCAAAATAGCAAGGCAAATAAACATAGATAGGAAAATTATGGAAGAACTACTAGACAGACAACAGATACGTTAATCAGTCATAACGCATCGCAGGACAAAATTGAAAAAGTAGAATCAGAATTAAACAAAATACAAACACATAGACACAAGGGAGCGCTAATACGTAGTAGAATAGACATGATAGGCAACGAAGACCCCTCCCATTACAACACAATTTTGGAAAAAATACACTGCAACAGTAAACAGATATGTAGCATAACAGATGACTACGGGACTATAACAAATGACCTGGAAAGTATAAAACGTCAGTTTACTTTATACTATCAAAACCTCTTCAATAAGGAAGATACAGACTATGAAATACAAGAACATTATCTTAATTACACAACAAGGCTAGACAACGAAGACTGTACCAAAATCAACGCGCCAATTACTAAAGAGGAAATATCCAAGACTATAGACGGACTAAAACTAAATAAAGCTCCAGGACCAGACGGACTAACCAATGAATTTTATAAAACCTTCAAAAAATGACTTAATACTCCTTTTACACGCTACATTTCAGGACATACATGAAAGATAGGATTGTGCTACAGATTTTAACAGGGCATATATAACACTCATTCCCAAAAATGATACGGACAGGACAAAAATTGCAATGTTAATAAAGACAAAACATTTATTTTACATTTAATGTTACATCTGTTGCTTAATGTAACACTTAAAGATTTTTTTTATTAGAAAAATAGTCTGTTACTTGTCTGTAACAATCATCATTGTATAGCCTTGTGACTAAGAGTTCTTGTAACACATTGCTGTTTTTTTAAATATAAACGCACATATATTTTTTAGTTATTATTTAGAGTTAGACTTGGCTATAAGTGGCTGTTAGAATCCTAGTCGATAGCGGTTAGTGTTAAAAAAATTCACATTGTTTGCATACAATTTTTCTAAAGTTAAAAAGGCTATTAATTTCGCAATAAAATACGTTGAGTAACGGGTTTTTTATTTTATTTTTATAAATATCGCATGTTGTTAACATGGTATTTACAATCAGTGTTCATTCAACCCGATTCATACTATCCACTAGCGCTTTCAATATGTTTTTAATGCTACACGTTTGTTATGTCAAATGAAGCAACTATTTAAGATTACTACTTTGTTTGGGCTTGACAGGACATTAACCCTGTCCGACTTGGCTCTTAGGAGACTATTTAACTGTAATTAATCATTCATTTAGCTGAAGGGATCATTATTTTTCTCTATATATGTTGCTATTTTTTTGCATTGGTGTCACCCCCTCCCCCTAAATGGTTCACACGCTCGCTCGCCCTCGCAACGCCTCTGTATATCATGTAAATATTATTACCCTTTTAAAATAATTGTTTCATTTCATGCATATTTTTCTTTTAAAAAGAAATGTTTTTTAATTTAAATAAAGAAGCATTGCTACCTGTTAATAGATCAAAGAACTAGGGAAAGATATAGTGTTAAAAGATACCAAGAAAGAAAGAAGGATACATGTAAAACAAAACTGTTTACTTTTTTGTAAAATATGTATATTTAAAAGATTTAGATAACTCGAGTACCTTCTAGACATCAATTACATCTCCTCTTAAACCAAACTGTAGTTATATATAGCATAATATATAACAAATAATATAACATATCATATTAAATTATATAGCATAATATGTTATTGTATTATTTTAAATACTAACTGTGACATTTAACAAAATTAATTATTTCCAGCTAATTACTTAATAATTTAAGATAGAAATAATATAATAATTTTAATTTTCGTTTTTTCATAATAAAAACCCTCTTGTTTTCTGCTAATTATTATAATATTTGAAGATATATTAATTTGTATTGGCATTTTGGAATGAAATATGTATAACATGGAAATAGTATAACAGATAAAACATTTATGTAAACTGCCATTCACAAATGGCCTGTAAAGATAACAGTAATAATTATTTAGTGGCAAAATAATAGTTCAGTATTTGCACATAGTGTTTGTCGTCTTGTAGTTAAATATTTGTTAATTTAACACATTTTAAAATGAAACGACTGTTGTATTGCTAACAACTCCAATGTTTATGTTGCAATTAAAACATGTGAAGCCATTACAGTTAATTTAAGGCATCACTACTCATATAGATATAATATGATTCTCGTATCGAGAAATTAGAAGAGTTGCCCGAGTTAGTGTAGAATATAGGTACAACCATTGTTTATAGCAGAATGTACACATAATTTGTGATATCTATTATTTAGGGGAGTCAACTCTTACATAAGTAGTAAATACAACGCTACTGCTCATTTTAAATGTATTTCAATTGAGTACACACAACATTTCCAAAAAAAAAATTATATAAATTTATTGATAAAAATGCAACATTTTAATAAAATTTAATCTACTTTTGCAATAATATGTATGTAAATAAACACAGCAAAATCTTAAAATGTAAGCACTTGTACTATAATATATAAGAAAATTTCAGTTTTACAACGCTATGGAGTTCATTTTTGTCCTTAATATTTAACAATTCCATGATTGTATTAATCGTTTAATATCTCATATTGTGGATTTTCTGTCAGCGGGGCAGCGTGGCCTAAGCCAGGGGTCGGCAACCTTTTGAGACGGAAGAGCCAAAAGTAACAATTTACAAATTTTCCAGTTTTTAAAGAGCCACTAACATTTTGATTTCAATATTTGGTACTTGATGAGGACTAGGTAAATAAGTTTATTTTTTTTATTTAAAATAAATAGTTTTAAATATGAAATAGTGTGTATTCATATAAAAACATACACATGTTTCGCACAAAACATATTAAATTATTTTAGCTAGCTCTGTTATGATAAACTTAGTTATCATATAATAAAACTACAGGACTACCCCAATCCACCATAGAAGCTCTTAACCTTTTTTTTTCTTTACTCACATCACCGGCTCAGGGGGTCTCTGCCATTAGCCAGGTAGGCATCAACACGATATCGGGTTGATTACTGTGTATCGGTCAATTCTGTTCTTCGGTTCTCACCAGACTTTCACCCCACTGAACGCAGGGTAAACTTGTACCCCGCCGTCCAGTACCCGGCTCAAAAGTAGGAAGCTAATAACTAAAAAACTACGTCACTCACGTCAAATTAATGAATACTGACAGAGGGAAATGCATTCTGAATAAAATAACATTCTCCATTTAACGATATTCGAAAAAATCGAAACTTGGGAAGTGGCAAGCATTGCACGGCTGTGGGGCTGGGTTTGGTGCCCAAGCGGCTGTCAGCTGTCCGAATACTATCTACTCCCACCTATTCTCGTTGTTCGCTGATTAGGCCTAGTGTTTTTATTATGTTTAAACTAATAAACTTGTTTCTTTACAGTATATATTTGTTATGGGTTTTGAAAATAAAATAATACGATAATTTCTAATATTTGTGCATGGAACTCAAGAGCCGCCACTTGACATCCAAAGAGCCGCATGCGGCTCGCGAGCCGCAGGTTGCCGACCCCTGCCCTAGGCTAAACTTATTTAAACGCTCCCTTCCACACACATTAATTAATAAAACATATGTATAAGAAAACAATTACATAAAAGTGGCATATTAATAATGTATTTAGTTCTCAAATATGAACAAACACTAGCAGTCTCCACACATATAGACTATATCTGTGACAAAGGAAGATATAGGACACTATTCCGTGCATTCAATGAAACTTGAAGATTAGCTTTTCATAGACAACATTTTATTATGATGCACTTGATAGTTGAATACAATAATCGTTTGTAATACGTTTGGGATTAGCGTCCACTACACAATGTAATTAGTTGCCTATACCTACCGTTCAATATTCCCTACAACTAACGTCACTACACTGTTTCCTAGTTCAACACGTGTCTACGTCCTTTCTCTTCAACTGTCCAGCCTCGACTCTATCTAACCCTCACTGTCCTAACTTCTTTTTCTTCTCCATCAAGCCTAACCTAATTTGCATGTCGCCACAGTTCTCCATCAAGCCGAACCTAATTAGCATGTCGCCACAGTTCTCTATCAAGCCTAACCTAATTTGCATGTCGCCACAGTTCTCCATCAAGCCTAACCTAATTTCCATGTCGCCACAGTTCTCTATCAAGCCTAACCTAATTTGCATGTCGCCACAGTTATCCATCGAGCCTAACCTAATTTGCATGTCGCCACAGTTCTCCATCAAGCCGAACCTAATTTGCATGTCGCCACAGTTATCCTTCAAGCCTAACCTAATTTGCATGTCGCCACAGTTCTCTATCAAGCCTAACCTAATTTGCATGTCGCCACAGTTCTCTATCAAGCCTAACCTAATTAGCATGTCGCCACAGTTATCCATCAAGCCAAACCTAATTTGCATGTCGCCACAGTTCTCCATCAAGCCTAACCTAATTAGCATGTCGCCACAGTTCTCTATCAAGCCTAACCTAATTTGCATGTCACCACAGTTCTCCATCGAGTCTAACCTAATTTGCATGTCGCCACATTTATCCATCAAGCCTAACCTAATTTGCATATTGCCTCAATTCTAGAGTACCTGATTAAGATGTCAAACCTAGCTAATAAACTTCCCCATATTTTCACGTAAGATTGATTTTCTCCTTATTTAATTCAAAATCGGCTTCTTTACCTAATACTCTGGGGTCTATACAACCCCAACTAAGTCATGGCTCCCCTCCCCTTTTAACTTTACTTTGTATAAATCTACGCCAGCCATGGTCTGTCACGTGATGAAATACATTGAAACAGCAGACGTCTTCGGGACAAAGTTCAGGCACGCTAACAATTTTTTTTTAATCGTTCAGTTTTTGATACATTTTTGATTATAAGTAATTGATTCCAAGCTGTCTGAATTCGAAGTCGAGACTTTGGGGCTATTAGCCTAACGCTCTATCGCTTAGGCCACGCTGTCCCGCTAACAGAAAATCCACAATCTGAGATATTAAACGAGTAGTAGGTAGAATTCTGGATTTTTTTTATTTTTTATTTTTTTTTTAGATTTGTTTTTTGCAAATTTATTAAAAGATAACTTTAGAATGAGTTTTTTCCTGCTTTATAATTTCTTGTAAAACAAAAGGTTATTGGAAAATGTTCTGATATACTTAGACTTATTCACATATGTAGTTTTCATTTTACTGCTTACTAGGGTCTAAATCATTATGCTAAGGTTCATCATTTTTTGTACTTGTTTAGTATCAATACTATCAACCTTAATAAAGCACTTTGATCCAGTCGCATTTTTGTCTTGTTTTTGTAACTATCAGTCTTGCTATATATTATTTTCGTTACAAAGTCAGTCTTTTAATGTAATCATGCACTATAAACTACGACTATTAGTTTTCTATTCACTAAATTATTAACAGTTTTAAATGCAACAAGTTAGAATGTGAACAATATTTGTAAACATGCAAATAACAATTTTTATCAGCCATTTGAAATCAGCCCTTAGAATAAAAGGAATGAATTTCCTCAACTACTTCTAAACCCCGAATAGTCAAAAACTTGTTTTCATCAGACACTTTCCCGTTCAGGATTGCAGCGTAGAATTCTTCCATATCTCTCATGAAAAGACCAGGCTTTGATGATGTCTGGGGTATTTTATCTGAGTCAATGATTTCCCCATCCTCAAACTCATAAATTGTCTGTTTGCGTATGTGTTCCTCCTTTGATTTGCTTCTTGAAAGTGTTATCTTGATTGGTTTTCCATTGGCTTCAATATCAGCTTCTGTTGTGTAGCCATCTTCAGATTTCTCCAGTTTCCCATTCACAACTTTCACATCTCCAAATAAAGAGAGCATATTTTGGATACCTGAAATACCTGTCACAAAGGGCAAGCCTGAGGCTTGAAAGTCTTCAATCCATCCATTGTAGGAGCCTTTAAGAGTGTATTGGCCTGACTTTATCCCAACACTCTTTACCTTGTTCTTCACTACATTAAATCCCTCAGTCAGAAGCCCTATGTTTTCTTCATATAAGACAAGTCCTTTTTGTTCTGCCAGCTCATGTAGTTTTCTAGCTGTAGCAGAAGACAAAGCCAGTGGATACTCCACAAGTACATGTTTGCCACTTTCCAAGCTTTTTTTAACATAGTCTACATGTAGACGTGGCTCAGTACTAATAAATATTGCATTAACATCTGGTTAATTTAAAGCCTCATCAAAGGTCAAGGCTGGGACATCAGCATCTTCTACAGGGCGTCTTGATACCACACCCTTCAATCTTAATCCGCATGTTTTTTCTTTCAAATCTTGAACACGAGCCCTTCCAGCCATTCCAAGACCAACTACCACTACCCCTATCTCTTTCTGTAGTGACATCTCCAAAGATGTATGTTATATGGCCTTCTTTCTATCTATAAGTATCATTAAAACTGCTGAATGATAGTCACATGCTTGGTGTCCCAGATGTCCATGATGATGAGTGTCAGTGATGACAGTTGATTTACTTTACTTTTATATTTTTTAATGATTATAACACACGTTAAAACATAATATAACGCCCTTTCGTGTGTGCAGAATAGTTGTTCAATCTGAAATGTTCTTAAATAAAAATACTACATGTGCTAATATTTTAAGGCTTCGTTGTTTATACTTACATACCTTTATGGCAAAAGTAGATTACCATTTTTTTTTTAAATTTTGCATTTTTCTCAATTAATTTATATAACATAATATTTGTTTTTAGAAATTGTGTGTGTACTCAATTGACATACATTTAAAATTTGCATTAGCGTTGTATTTACTATTTATGTAAGAGTTGACTCCCCTAAATAATAGATATCGCAACATCTATTTACATTCTGTTATAAACAATATTTGTACCGATATTCTATAATAACTCGGACAACTCATTTAATTTCTCGATATGAGAATCATAATATATCTATACGTAGGCCTACAGTGAAGACTTAAATTAATATTAATGGCTTCACATTTTTTAATTGCAACATAAACATACAAGTTGGAGTTGTTATCGGTGTGTGAAAGCAATACAACCGTCGTTTCATTTTAAAATGTGTTAAATTAACAAATATATGTAACTACAAGACGAAAAAGGCTATGCGTGTATGATGAACTATTATTTTACCATTATATAATTATTACTGGCCATTAGGGAATGCCATTTTACGTTAGTAATTTATACATTATACTAGTTCTATGTTATTCATTCAAAATGGTAATATTGTGATAATTAGCAGAAATTTTGTAATGAACACAAGAAAATTAAAAATATTATATTATTGTATCAACAGGCAATAAAAAACGAGCAACGGATAAATATAATTGGTTGATTTGCAACAATGACAAGCTTCGGCTTTCTAAAAAAACTAAATATAAAATTATGCATTTTTTAAACCGAAATAAATCAGCTTTTTAACTCATTCTTTGCATAAAAATAGAAGTTGTGAATTTTATTTGTTACTTGATCTAGGTCAGTGGTTCCCAACCTTTTTCGAGTGGCGACCCCCTTTTATAAAAAGTAAGTGACCCGCGACCCCCATAGAATTAAAAGGCCGAAATTAGTATAGAAATTAATAAGCTCTAAAATAAGATTTTCTTGAATTGATAAATGTTTTAATACCATGAGTAAAATTGCATGCTATTTACTAAACATTCGCGGATAAATTTTTGTTTACGACTTTTACTAGCAATGGACTTCATTTGATGCGTGCACTAACGGTGTGTTTTCTTGGTGAAAACTTCCTGTTTGATCAAGCCTCTGACGTTTGCAACTAGCTTCATGCCGATGAAAGAACTCCATATATTTTTTGGTGTGTTCCGAATGACTCGTCTCAAATGACATTTTAGTTTTGAAGATTTCATAGACTCGTGACTGAGAACAACTGTGTACAGTACGCTTTGCTTCTTCTCTATTCCATTTCAAGTGATATTACTGAATCCGAATTTCATATATTCTTCTAATAGCAATATTATATTATGTGGAATGGTAGGTTCGGATCCCGTTGGTTTCTGACTGCTTGTTTTTACTTGGACTATTTTCTGTACCTTTGTCTACACTTGGCGTTGAAATATCACTTTCTGTTAATATTGCTATTTCAGTTACAACGCCTGCTTCCACCCCCTCTACATAATATTCTTCTAAAAATTTATGTTTTGTTTCTCATTACTAAAGTTTAGTATACCAGTTGGCGACCCCTCAGAAAGCCCTTCGCGACCCCCTTGGGGGTCGCGACCCCCAGGTTGGGAACCCGTGATCTTGGTTCTTTACTGGCTCACGCCTCTAAAAATATTTATATATCTGACATGTATAGTTCATTTAATTGGGTGTTTAACCAGATTAAAATATTTATATATCTGACATGTATAGTTCATTTAATTGGGTGTTTAACCAGACTAAAATATTTATATATCTGACATGTATAGTTCATTTAATTGGGTGTTTAACCAGATTAAAATATTTATATATCTGACATGTATAGTTCATTTAATTGGGTGTTTAACCAGACTAAAATATTTAAATATATCTGTCATGTATAGTTCATTTAATTGGGTGTTTAACCAGATTAAAATATTTATATATCTGACATGTATAGTTCATTTAATTGGGTGTTTAACCAGACTAAAATATTCATATATCTGACATGTATAGTTCATTTAATTGGGTGTTTAACCAGATTAAAATATTTATATATCTGACATGTAAAGTTCATTTAATTGGGTGTTTAACCAGATTAAAATATTTATATATCTGACATGTATAGTTCATTTAATTGGGTGTTTAACCAGATTAAAATATTTATATATCTGACATGTATAGTTCATTTAATTGGGTGTTTAACCAGATTAAAATATTTATATATCTGACATGTATAGTTCATTTAATTGGGTGTTTAACCAGACTAAAATATTTATATATCTGACATGTATAGTTCATTTAATTGGGTGTTTAACCAGACTAAAATATTTATATATCTGACATGTATAGTTCATTTTAATTGGGTGTTTAACCAGACTAAAATATTTATATATCTGACATGTATAGTTCATTTAATTGGGTGTTTAACCAGACTAAAATATTTATATATCTGACATGTATAGTTCATTTAATTGGGTGTTTAACCAGACTAAAATATTTATATATCTGACATGTATAGTTCATTTAATTGGGTGTTTAACCAGACTAAAATATTTATATATCTGACATGTATAGTTCATTTAATTGGGTGTTTAACCAGATTAAAATATTTATATATCTGACATGTATAGTTCATTTAATTGGGTGTTTAACCAGACTAAAATATTTATATATCTGACATGTATAGTTCATTTAATTGGGTGTTTAACCAGATTAAAATATTTATATATCTGACATGTATAGTTCATTTTAATTGGGTGTTTAACCAGATTAAAATATTTATATATCTGACATGTATAGTTCATTTTAATTGGGTGTTTAACCAGATTAAAATATTTATATATCTGACATGTATAGTTCATTTAATTGGGTGTTTAACCAGACTAAAATATTTATATATCTGACAAGTATAGTTCATTTTAATTGGGTGTTTAACCAGATTAAAAAAAAGTTTGGATTTAATATAAAAGTTGACGATTATTTAAGTTCTTGTGGTGTTAGTTGGTTGTCATTTGAAACATTGAAGTTATATTTCATTGTTGACTATGCTAGTCCTCTTAGTCTCTATAGACATATGTTACTTCGTTATTTGAGTCTTGTTATAGAATTAAAACCTTGCCTATTTTTGTAAAAAAATATATTTATATATCAAACACCAGGCCCCATCATATTGCCCCCCCCCCCATAACGGCATCTCCCTTGTCCCCATGACCAACCTTGAGTTGAAATACTATATCATTTACTGATGATGTATTACCAAAATACTGTTTGAAATAAAGAGGCTGGTTTAAGTTGTTTTTTAATGCAATTTCCAAAAGAAAAAACCTCAGAATTACATCCAATTTATCATCCATTAAAATGTTCTGAGATATCCATAGCAGAACACAATATATGACTAATCATCAAATGAGAAGGTGTATGTTTGAAAATATGTTTCCTACTGCGCAAAAAAGACAAGCTATTAACATTTATTAAATTATTATTTTGTCTATTTACCTACAACAAACTTAAACATCAAATGCATTTAAAACTAAATTCAGACCGATTTTTTTTTTTAAATTCAAAATATTTTTGGTTTACATAGAATACGCGTTATTTTTTTGTTGTGGACAGGCACGTTGATTGGATATTATTTCAAATTAAAAAAAAAATCAATTAATTAAAAATTATTCATGAAAGAACAATATTATTTAAAATTTACTTTTGCTTTTGTTAACAGTGTCTGCACCTTAATTTCAAAGGTTTTTATCTTCATTTTTCATTCAGATTTTAAATCAACTAACGAAAATGATAGTAGTTTAAGATACTATTCTAATAGAATATTTTAATATCATTTAAATTATGTTTGTTAAATTAAAATCACGTGTTTCCAAGCCATAACTATAACATTAGTACTATTTCATAAATATATTTAATAATTACGCCCCTTGAATGTTTACTTGCAATACAACAACTTAAGTTTCAACTCTACATTGTAATTATCGATTACATTTGTTTAAATTTTGTCTTAAGATTCGACGACATAATTAAAAAAAAAAATATTAATTCACTGGTGTTTAAAGACCCAATATAAATTCCAAACAAAACAAAACTAGTTTACTCTTGTGATTTATATATATATAAAAAATAGCTTATATAACATAGAGCAGATAGTTTTATTATGAGAAACCTGAACGTTAACTCTAATACCATCATTTCTTTACACCGGCTCAGTCTGTGGGTCAGTATCCGGTATAACCTCACACTTGAACACAACAACTTTGGCAGCAAACTGACCCTAACTTTATTCAACTGATACTATATTATCACATTACCTCTACTCTAACAAACTGATCCTTACATCACCACATTGGTCTCAATTTGTTTTCTATTTCGCATTTGTTTGTCAGTTTTTTTTTCCATCTTGGTTGCTTCTTATTCGTTTTTTTTTTAAACGACAAAACATTAGGTATAATCAACGATGTATTGATGTGATAGTTTTAATTAGTACAATAAATTACCTTACTGTGCGATACTGATCTCCGCTGCTCTATTACCCCTAGAATATTGGAAGTCGTTCCCCCGTACATACAGACACATGCTTGACGTCCATGTGCCCTCAATGTTTGACTGTCAGAAATATGTGGTCACCGAATACACCATGAGACATGAAGAAAAAAATTACAAACAGCGAAATTTCAATTTTGTAAATCAAGAAACATATCACTAGATGTGGGTGAATAA